ATATATATATATATCACTTTGCGTGTTTTTAAGTAAAAATGAAATATGAAATAGGAAAACGAGGTGGCATTGGGTTTTACTATAAAAAAAAAAAAACATGAGGTGGCATTATGCGTGAATACTTTTCTTCAAAATTTCAGTTTTCTTTGACAAATTGAAATAACAATGAGCTACTGCAAAACTGATATAATTTGATTTTCATTAATAAAAAAAATCATTGAAAAAAGTATTAAGAAATTTAAAATCTTATAAAATAAGTCTGTTATCGGCGGTGGCGGTGATACTCCAGGAAAAAAAAATCTTATAAAACAAGAGAATTGTAAGAATTCCTGAAAGGTATATTGTTGATATATATTTTTAAATAATTATTATTATTGGTATAAATATAATATAATATTAGCATTAAAAATATATTTTTTGTCTATGTATATTATATAAAAAAAATAAACAGATAAAATATGTTTTAAAGTTGTAAGAAGAAAAAATAGCATATATACTAATTAGAGTAATTCTCTGTTTTAATAGTATATATTATATTATATAAAATAATATACGGATAAGCATGTGATAAAGAATTGTTTTAATTTACTTGTAATCTCAAATTTTAATCTTAAATAATTTACATTATTTAATCTTAGAATTGCATAATTTACGTTAAATATTTGACAAAGAATGATGTAGGATATCTTTCATCTAGAAAAAAAAATTATATAATACATTATTTATTAAACATGATAATTTTATTATTAATATGTAATTATTCAAAATAATTATATTTCTAATAAAAGTACGTTTGTTTCAACTTATATTGTTATATTTTTAGAAATACATAAATAATAAATGTGCTTTCCAATGTTTGTTACATATTTTATTTTTGGATACAAAACATTTTCAAGAATGAAGATAACTTTCATATTTTCAAAAGATGAGATGAACAAATTGATTTCATGTGTTAATTAAATTTTTTATTTTACATTTAATTTTTTTATATCAATTAGAGTGGTCCAGACACTTTAAGTAATTATTTAGAAAAGATATATGAAAAAAAATTATATCTATAAGATATAATAATCTATTAAAAAGTGAAAATCAAAATTGATTATATGTCTCAATATCTCCTTTATAATATGTATAAAATTTATAGAAAAAAACTCATAATTAGCAAAAACATATTTTTTAATATATTCAAAAATATCATTTCCATTAGGGATGGCAAAAATACCCGCACCTGCGGATATCTGCGGGTAAAATCCGCTACAGATAATAAATAGATAAACTAATTGGGTACCACGGATAATGGGGATAGATAATTTTTTACCCGTTTATAAACGGGACGGGGTAGTATGGTGAAGTCCATACTCACGGGTATCCGTTTAATAATATTTTTTAAATATTATAATTATCTTTGTACCACATAACCCTAAAACTACACTCTCTCATCTTATTTTCTTATAAAAGTAAGGTTGACGAAGTTATCAATATGTGTTAAGCATGTTATAGAATTATATTGGATGTAATTTGATTAATTTTCTTGCTTTGATTGGACCAATAAGATTTATGTATTTTAAATTGTTTACTTTCGTTTGGAATTATGAGATTGAATTATTGTAGTTTTATGATATGAGACTTTCACTTACTTGTGAGATTGATGTATTTTAAGTTATTGATTATCTTGCATTTTTATTATTATTTCAACAAAATTAACGTTAAATACAAGTTCAAAATCAACATTGAATTTTTATTTTTAATATTTCAATGACATTAAATATAAACTTAAAATTATTTGTAATATAATTTTTTTAATTTCTTAAAAAATTTATAAATATCCATGAATATATGTGGGTATTCAAGAAATTCATGGATACTCGCACGGATATAAGGTAGGTATGAGGCTAATTTTCATCCAGCGAAGCAGGAACGGGTTTACTATTACCCGCCCCATGGAGCCCCATTGCCATCTCTAATTTCCATCATTACATTTTCAAAAATAATATTCTCAAATATGAAAATTGATAACTTGAAATAAAAGTCACTAAAGTTAGTGACACGGGTTGGGCACATCTTACTCACCCTTAATATTAATATCATTATTTTTTCTTTGTTTTTGCAGCATGAAATTAGTAAAAAGAAATATGTATATACTAGGATTCAAAATCTATAACATATTTTATAAAAATAAATATTTCCTTTTAAAATTTAAAACATTTATGCTAATAATTCAATATCATTGTAAATAGTTAAAATTAACATGATTTTAAGTTATTAAAAAAATCTTATTTTAATTGTAATAATAACCCTAAGAAAAACTGTAACAATAAAACAATAATATTATTAAAAATTATTGGATAGGAGAATTTATATTAAAATGAAAAGTAAAAAAATAAATTGAAATTAAAAACTGCAACAGTGTAAAAAAATTACATAATTAAATTAACAGTTTACATTTATAAATAAATTAAAAAATATCTCTATTAAATACTAATTATTTTCTTGTTTGATATGAAGCTTACTAGAAGATATTTGTCTATCACAACTACATTCAGCAACAACATTAGTATAAACAACCTCTTTAAGTTTATTGGAAGACACAATCAAATTTTCTAGAGTTTACCTCCATTTCAATGTGACCCTAATTTAAATAACAATAATATTAAACTAAATATATTTAATTATTATTATAAATAGGTAAAAGTACATATATATATATATATATATATATATATTTGTGTAGTAGTTCAAAATTTACCATCTCAATCAAATCAATATCATCAATTAAGAACTCAAAACAACAGGTTTAAAGCGGACCCTATAAATAATTTGAAAAGGAAAAAAAAAAATTTCTGGAGCCACAGGAAAAAAAAAATCATAAGTCCTCCTAGGAGAAGAGTTGATTTATTAAGTTTATTAGTTTTACCTCTATGGACCTCTCATAGGTAAGGGTCAAGATGTATCACATTATTTTGACACTCTTAAAATTATTTACCTTATGTATTCATTCTCAAAGAATCCAAATATAGTGTAGTTGCAAGTTTTGAAACCCCTAACTTTAATGAGAAAAATATGTTTGAAAGCTTAGAAAAAGAATAATAAAATTTAGATTTATATAAAATAATTCAAAGTTTTACTTTCTATTTAATCATCATTTTTAATAATTAATAATAAAACTCGAAAAATTGTAAAAATGATCATTTGCCCTTACTTCTCATTCTCAGTATAAAGAGTTGGCATTGTAAAAGTGATTTAGGAGACAAAGAAGTGTTGGTGAGAGCCTAAAATCATCATATTTGTTGCAATATAACTTTGGGCTTTTTTTAGAATTCAGCGAAATACTAGGAAAAAAAAAATACACGGGGTTGTCTGTAAGGCCAAGCTAGTATTGGTTTGACTTTCTAAAATACTAAAAATTATAATATTAATGAATAATAAAATAAAATACTTAATGTAGATTTTTTGAAAAATTGGAAAATTTATTGGATCAAAACAAATTCAATATGAATTTATGACTTAATGTATCTATCTATATATATATATAATTAATTAATAAAACTATAAAATTATTTTATTTTTTTTTAATTCATAATAATTAATTATAAGTATGAATTAGTGTTCCATAAAATTTAAACAAAAATAAATCATTTGATAATTATTGAAGAAAAAAACCCAAAAAAGGTGTTACCTAAATTTAGGGCAATGACACGTGGTATTTGTGAAGAAATTTAACTAAAAGGGATCCTTGATCGTGACAGAACTAGCACGCGAAGATTTACTGACATCTTATAAAGGAAAAGAAGGACCATGAGTCATCAATCTTGATCATGAACCCTCATGCATCCAAAATGTAGACATTTTAACTAGTGCTCTTCCAAATCCTACTAATGAAAACATTGGATCCAGTTTGGGTATGACAAACATCTATCACCCAACTTGTGGGAGAAAGTCAAGATTGGGCCTTAGTTTTATTTTTTGGAGATTCATTTAGATTTCCCAAATCAAACAAAATCACCTTCTCGTTTAAGATTTATGCAACTAGATTAGTCTTTTCATTATTTTAGGATCTTCTATAATTCTTCCATTGTTAGATTGCCTTAAATTAAGTGGAGAATCCCTGATTTTTAAGCCTCATTTATATCTCTCACATGTAATCAACAATTCTACATTAAGTTTAATTTATCTTTAATTATAACATCTCAAATAATATACCTATTGTAAAACACATTCAGATATAAGTGGTTAATATGTTAAATCTAAGCTTGAATTATTCAAACAATAATTGAGTTCAATTATTGACAGAAACAATCCTTAGTCAAACTTAATTTACTTTTCAGTCAAGCCAAAAACATGAAAAATAATCTTGTGGGCTCATGGCACTAACAATCCAACCAGAGTAGAACTAAAGAAATAAAATGACAAATTCAGTCCTAATCCCTAAGGCAATAAGCGGTTATGTGCTCCTCATTTTACTTTAGTATTACGAAAAGAACATAGAATGTATCACCTAACAAGAAATCTAACATATTGTCACCAGGGATAAAATCAGGAAGAAAAAAAAAAGAGAGAATGAAATAAACATTTCATAATTGATTTGAAGGTCTAGCCAATAGCAAATGATTTTCAGGAGAAATACTAGGTGGAACAAATCTGACAAGCTTTGCATCTAATCCATGTTTTCTTAACCACATCAACCTCCCCATATCAATAATCCACTTGCACTTAAATCCCAGTGCTGCTCGTCTATCTGCTTGCATGTCTGAGAGAATTTTTTCAACTCCGATCACAAATCCATCACCTTGCTCCTTTCTGCAGACAAAACACAACTTCTGATAAAATACCAATTGGTAACGAGAACTTTGATGCTCAATTTAATGACTAAAGAATTAGAAGGGATTACATTGATTGTAAATGTGATCTACAATTGGTAGTATCTGGAAGATCTGAATCATCATGATTAGCATCTACTGCCCAGCTGGTAAACCATGTAATGGCATGAAATTCTTCCTTTGTTAACCCCAAATCCAGAAAAAACCTTTTATCTGCAAGGTTACAAGTTCAATCAGCTAATGACCAAAAGTTATCAAGACATCCATAAAGAGGTTTAAATACAAAAACTACAGCTTTTACTAGCAAGGCAGAAGAAAGTGATTACTTGTATAGTGTTTCCACTGGCAAAGGTGGTGACAACATGTTGCTATAGCTAAACCTCCAAACTTATTAGCAGTGTTCTGTTGACTACTATCTTTTCTATATTCAGGAAAGCAGCATCTCAAAGTTAAATCTGAAAAAAGAAAAATTGCATGAACATTTATGTTTTCATCAATAAAACAATTACCGCAAATATCATAAATCTAAAAACGCATTCATGCAAAGACTAAATTTAAGTTAAATTTATTATCTAACTACATTGCCAAACTCACCTGTTGCAGCTCCACATAGATGTTTACCAGTCGCCAGAAATGGAACTCCTTGCAAAGACTCAACAGCATTCAAATCTAAATCTTCAACTGTAAAAGTTGGATTTTACAATTTTATGTGGGCACAGAATTATAGAAATAAAAAAAAAAAAAAAAAAAGAAACTGCAATACAGAACTATGAAGAAGCTGAAGAAGAAATAAAATTGCAAGAAATATGAATACAGAAAATTCTATCAGAAGCTTCAAGCTGACTAAACTTTGGATAGCATAACAAACAAAATCTAAATAATTCAACGATGTGCACATCCATGTCTTTAATAAAATATGTAATGCATGGGGATTCACTATACAACATGACAAAATACATTAAAATATATATACTGTTTCTTGATCCGATGATGAGCCTGAGATGAAACAAAACTAAGAAGATTATAATAGCATAAGCAGCCGGACCACACAAGCTTTCAGAAGAAATTTAGCTGCAAAGCTATGCCAGAAAAATATGAAAGGTGCTAAACATGCACGCTCATACTGTGGTCTGATATTCCCTTGGCCCAAAATTATATTAGTATGAGGAAATCGAACATACTTTTCAATTGAAGCAGCTTCTGGGTATTTGTATTATGAAAAGGGGTTCCTTATAACTTGCATGAAAAGGGGAACCAAGAAAAAACTTCAGTTGTTTATACGCCTGACCATTCTTAAAAACCCTCAACACAGTGGACAAGGCTTTAGATACAAATGACTAAGAAAAGTGAATATGTTTAGTCGACATCCTACAATAAATGCATCTTTGTATTATTTTTCTTCAAGATTTTTTAAACATGTAGAGACAAGTCTCCCAAAATCTCTTTCTTAAACGTGTATACATTTCAACAAGATTACATTTATAAATCCAGATCTTGTGATTCACTAATTTCTCATATCTAATTGAAACACACAAAATGATTTCCTCAGTAAAGATATCTAAGCAGGCAGCATAACTAAACTACAACAATTACAACTTCAGAAAATATCTTCTACGACAATAATTTTGAAGACTCTTACTGTCAATTCTCAAACGCTCTAACATCAAGCTCTCATTTTGTCGCAATGATCGATCAGCCTGGCAATAGCATTGGCATGATGTAAATAAGCAAGGAATAAATAAATTAAAGATCACTATAAGTTCAAACATCTCAAGAACATGTCCAAATATTATCATGATTTAGAACTTGTTGGAAGTAGGAGCATTTAATGATTATTACTTTTCCAAGTAGCTTATGTCCTACCTTCAACTTATATGCCTTTCTCTCAACTAGAAAGACTCTTTTGATTCCATAACAATCTGCAAGCATTTTTGTCAAATACCCTCTACCAGCTCCAAACTCAATCACTGAAGGGACATCCTCCTCCTCCTTCTCAACTGGTTCTGTACACTCAAATGGTTTCCTTCCAAGAGAATTCTTCAGTACACCAATGTTTTCCAAATTTCCCAGAATAGATGCCTGCTGCATTATATGTTTCTCTTGAAATGGCAATTTCCTGCATACAACTCAAGTTGTAAATAGAAATCAAACCCATTAAACAAAGTTAAATTCAGTTTGTCCCCTTTTAGTTTGGGTTGAAATACATGTCCCAACTGGTGATTTGACTTTGTCAGATTACCCCATACGTTTAGTTCTATGAGGACTGATGGAATTGAGCTTCATAATAAAGGAAGTACACATAAGGGACTTTGTGGTGAAGAAACAACCACAGGGGCACAGTAACAAATCAGGGTTGCTGACAAAATGATTTTGATACAACTACACAAAGCAACCAGAATTTAAAACTTAAATAAATTCAAAGGTTTGACCAATAAATAGCTACCTATCTTCAACTCCTCTTTTAATCCAGAGGCTGCAAACCTCTGGCATCTGAATTGAGTCCTGAATATCCTTACACAATGACTCGTGAAGAAATTCTATCTTTTCAATCAAATTGAAAAATTCAGGTACACTCATCTCATGAAGTGCATTCCTCTTCATTTCTGAAGAAACTGTCATAGTGGGCACTCCTGAATCATCAACCCCAGATGTTTCCTCCTCTCCATCAGAACCAGCATTGATACCTTTACGATAGAAAGGTTGGAGAGACAAGGATTGAGCATGTTTCAGCAATGGACACCGCTTAACATGCCCTTTGAGATTTTGCTCTAGCACCGAGCTATCAAATGATGAAATAACAATAATCAAACAAAGAAGAGCTATAAAAAAATTGATGAACATAACTACATAAGATGATACACAGAAGAAAGCATATGAGGGAGAGAAGTACTGGGATGGATCTATGGGGCATGGGATCCACTCGCCTTGGGACCTTGAGTTGTGATTTCCACAGAATCTGGGCCCATAGAATTGAAAGGTGAGTGAAATGAATCAAATATTGGAAAGAAAGAAAGAGACTGACACTTACAAGGAACCATTGAGAGGGCAGAGAGCACAAAATCTGTTTTTGTTTGGAAGCCAGAATTTGCAGCGCTTGTTCTCCATAGTACCTTGTGTAGTTTAATTCATTCAAAAACCTAAAGGCTTAAAGACTTAAAGTATGGTTTTAAGGGGTACTGCTCAACCTGGTCAGGTCAGGAGGGATTACTGGTCCAACCACCACTAAAGTGATTGAATCAGGACACCTGGATTGAAAAAGAAAACAAGACTATGCATTCAGTACATATATCCAATGCCACCTTCACTTGTATATAAGATTCCAAATGAGCTTCTAAATATCATGCTGGTTCAAACTATTTTCTTCTCTAAACTACAGAAATTCAACAACAGCACATAAATGATTCTATCCGCATAAGATGAAATCCATCTTTGCTGCTCAAACTGTTCCTATTAAATTACAAGTTTCCAAACTTCATATTCAATTTAGTGATAGCCTACCCAAGATGTTTTCTTTGGGGGAAAAAATTGGACATATTTGAACAATTGGCCACTTTTGCCACTTAAGAGGCCTCTGATATTCAATCTTCATTTCTTCATCTTTCAAAATCTCCATAACTAGCCAATTCTTTCGCAACAAAAACGTTCAAAATGAAACTATGAAGTTTAAAGAGACACTATATTCACACTGGGACATAAACTAATTACTCATACATAACCATTGCACCCATTCATTTAAAAATTTTCAATATAAAAAGAAGGATCATAAGACAAGTGAGTTGAAGCTTAGAACGCGCACCGCAAATGCTGAGGAATTCGATGAAACAGACATCGGCGATGGCTTCGATTCCAAAACACAGTTCCTTTCTTCACTTTCTGCCTCCAACCCGACAGAGGAGGCGGCGGGCAAATTTGCTGCTACCGTGACGAGGTCGTTTTGCGAGAAAAATTAAGTTATAACGACAAATAAACTTATGAGAATTTTTTTTTCTTCCAAAACTATTTACTTTTAATTTTTTTTAAGAAACTAAATATAGGTAATTACTTGACTTTTTTATTTAAATATTACAAAAAATAAATAAATTTATCAAAATATCATACTTTAAAATATATTTACTAAAGTTACTTTAATTATTCATGTTGAGAATTTGATTTTCTATTAAAAAATTTCTTAAATAAATTTATCAATTTATTTATGCATTGAAAATTTGTTAATCTTGTAGTTTTTTTTATATAATTTTATTTTTTAATATTATTATTTTTATAATATATATTTTTATTTTAAATTATTAACTTGAAAAAATAGTTAATATATAAATAATTTTAATTTTTTATTTTAATAGAATATTTGTTTCAATTATAAATATAGTATTTCTAATAATTATTAATAAATTTTGTAATATGTGTGTTTGATAATTTATTAGAAGAAATTAAATCTATGAATTTCATAAATATTTTTAATATATTATAGTCAATAAAAATAAGATTTCAATTAACATATGAAAGTGTTAAAACTAATTTTAAATCCAAATAACAAGAACAAAATGAAAGGTACAATTAGGTAAAGCTGTCAAAGTGAGCTCAGTCCAGTGAGCCAACCCGGACCACCACGGGTTCGAGCCAAGTTGGGCCAAAAAAATTAAAAATTTCAGTACGGACCAATTTTGAACCCTGCTCACTAAGAACCCAGCTCACCCGGGTTTAACTCGTAGTGAGCCGGGCTGACCCACCAACTCGTAATAAAAAAAACGTGTACTTATTAGGCCTATGCAGCCTATTAGGGTTTCATTTTTCAATATGAACTTTAGAAATCTATAGCTGCACTCTCACACCCTCGATCCGCACCGCACAGCCACCATAGCTGCTGCCACCATACCGCACTAGCCACCATAGCTTCCACCACACTGGACCCATTGCACCGCATAGCTGCCACTGCACCGCACAGCAAGGCACCGCGTGCACTACGAGCCGCAAGCCATCGCGCCCACTACGCACCGCGAGTCGCGAACCATCACGCTCATTGCGCACTGCGAGCCGTCGCACACATCATGAGCCACCACGCGCACCGCGAGCCACCGCGCCCACCGCGTACCGCGAGTCGCGAGGCATCGTAATCACCGCGCACTGTGAGCCACCGCACGCATCATGAGCCACTGCGCGCACTGAGATCCATGAGCAACCGCGCACACCGCGATCCATGAGCCACCGCAAGCCACCGTGCACACCGCGCGCACCGCGATCCATGAGCCACCGCAAGCCACCGTGCACACCGCGAGCCATCGCACGCATTGTGAGCCCACTGCGAGAAGTTTGCCAATTTGGTTTGTTTTCAGTCGGTCTGCATCATTATGATACATTCAAAAAAATTATATTTTTTTTTTAAAATTAGGTGAACCAACCCGTTTAACCCATCAACCCGTGGTGGGCCGGGCCGGGTTCAATTTTTTTGAACTCACTAATAAATGAGGAATTTTTTACACAAATAATACTATTTTAAATTTTTTTTTACCCAAATAGCAACTGTACAAATTTATTTCCCCAACTAGCATCATTTATTATTCACGTTCAGAACAGACTGTTCTGAAATCAGAACTGGCCGTTCCGGATTAAAAAATAACACATGGAAAATGGATCAGAACGGGTCGTTCCAAAATCAAAATTAGCACATAAAAAGTAAAACCAGAACGGACCATTATGCATCTAGAACGGGCCGTTCTGGCCTATAAATAAATTTTTTTTTGTTTGATTTTCACTTATCAAATACCAAAACTCAGAGACTACCATTAAGTGATTAAATTTATTGAATATTAACATTATAAATATAACTAAATAAATTTATCAAAATTCATTTTAACAATAAAGATCAATGGTGGCGGAAACTGAATTCATGACCAATATTTGGATATGTCTTCCTAGTGTGACCAGGGGTGTGACAATAGGAACAATTTTTTACACGATTATGTTCTTCTCTAATGTCCATCTCTGTTCTAATCCTGCTAGACTTTGGCCGACCCTTGAAAGCTCTCTCGAGTTCTGGATTTGGCTACAAAGTTGAAAGAAACGCAACATCCGAGAAAAGTTTGACCCGCTGAGAGATTTACAGTAAGGCTAAATGAAATGTGATATGATTGCGGCAAGTTCCAGAAAGGTATACGAAGGACAGTTTGGAGAGCTCCGACATGAAAATTATTGGCCTACTTACACTGGTCCAACTTTGTAGCCAAATCCAAAACTCAAGCGAACTTTGCCAAAGTCCAGCAGGATTAAAACAGAGATGGACATTAGAGAACAACATAATCAGTTTCTGCCACCATTGATCTTTATTGTTGTATTGAATTTTAATAAATTTATTTAGATATATTTATAATGTTAATATTTAATAAATTTAATTATTTGAGGTTAGTTTCTGAGTTTTGATATTTGATAAGTGAAAATTGAAAAAAAAAATTATTTGTAGGTCAGAACAGTCCATTTTGCTTCCACTTTTTATGTGCTAATTTTGATTTTGGAACGGCCCGTTCTGATCCGTTTTCCATGTGTTATTTTTTAATCCGAAACGACCCATTATGATTTCAAAACGACCCGTTCCGAATGTGAATAGTAAATAGTGCTAGTTGGGGAAATAAATTTGCACAGATGCTATTTAGGTAAAAAAAAATTTAAAATAGTATTATTTGAGTAAAAAAACTCAATAAATGAGCCAGGTTGAGTTAGTCCACCAAATGCTCAACCTGTAGTGGGCCAGGCCGGGTTACCCATTTTGACAGCTCTACAATTAGGGATGGCAATGGGTCTGTGGGGGTGAGTAGTAGTATACCCGTCCCTGTCCCGCAAGATAAAAATTTGTCACGTAATCATCCCATATCCATGCGGGTACTCGTTACGCAGGTATTCATGAACTTTTTAAATATTTGCGAGTATCCATGAATATCCATGGATAATTATGATTTTTTTTACAAAATAAAAAAATAAAAAAAATAATATTATAAATAATTCTAAATTTGTATTTGATGTCATTAAAATTTTAAAAATAAAAAAATGATGTTAACTTTTAAACTTGCATTCAACGTTAATTATGTTGATATTAAAATTAATATAAAAAAATACAAGATAATCAATAACTTAAAATATATTAATCTCATAATTTAAGAAATTTTATTAAACGGGCATCTGCGGGTATGGATACTATCATACCTATCTCATCCCATTTATAAACGAGTAGAAAATTACTCACACCTGTTACCCGTAGTTATCCATTTAAACCACCCATTTATTATCCGCAGCGAATTTTATTTGCAGATACCTGCGAGTACTGGTATTTTTGTCATCCCTAGGTACAATAATAAATAAATAAATTACTATTGTTGGTTGGAAGTTCTCACTTTCTACATGATGATCTCTTTATGTAGCCTCTGTGGTGTTATTGCAGAATCTTCATAACACCTATTTCTTCAATGTTCTTTTGTTCAAGTTATATGGTCTTAGCTTCAAGATATGATCAACACTCCTATTGATAAAACCTCTCCTAAGAATCTTCTAGTGATCCTCTATAAATAATGGAGCAGGTAGGTGAAGGATATTTCTTTTGCTGCTTTGGTGCATGTTATCTGGGTAGTGTGTGAAGTGAGTGTTAGCATACAAGAAAAAGGGTTGAATTGATATGCTTTTTAAAGATTAGTCCTTTTAAAAAATTTGTAGCTCAAAAGTTGTTATTTTTGAGTGTTGGTGCTGATTATATCGTCTAAAGACAACTTTGGAAGCTAATGCTTCTAAGTGTTAAAGCTTAAAGCAACAACAGATTATGCAACAAATACATATAAAGCGTTAAAGTAACTACAACAAGTAAAGTGATAGAATTAGAGAGATTGCACGCCGAGTTTTTATATTGATTCACCCCAACCTGGGTTACATATATATGATCCTCACACACATTGTGAGATTTTTCACTAAATCAGCAACAACTATTATGATTACACCAGTAGCCACCTACTAGATTTCCCCTACATAATGCAACCACTTGTTTGTGTATTACTCTTAGCCACTTGCTAAGTTATTCCTCAACACTAGTTGAGATTGCACCATCAGCCACATGCTGGATTTCCTCCCCATAACATAACCACCTGCCATTTATGTTCTACACTTAGCCATCTACTAAGTTTTCTTACTCAATAACTTGCTGAGATTTCAATCCTTATAGCCACCTACTATGAGCACTCTCAACCAACTGTTTGGTGTGTTTTCTCTCCTTCCTACACCTCTGCATGCTAGATGTAGGGAAGGCTTTTACAAGTAATGGGTTTGTGTATCCTAGCAATTGCTAAGGTTACAACAATTTCTCCTAAATTAGAAGCTTCCACTAAGGGAGTTTCACATCTCATTTTTTTTTCTATTACAAAATTGATACAAATGTTGAAGTGGACATTTCTGAATTGAAGTACGCGAAAAAACACATAGAAGGGGGGGTTGAATATGTGTTTGTGTGAATAAAGGAATTTTAAAACTTTTTAGCAAGGGACTTATTCTTTGTCCAATTAAGAATATTATTTTGAATGCTTAGAAGTAACTGTGCAGGATTGGTTTAACAAAAGATTTTTGCGTCTAGGAGTTTATCGTTTGCACTAGGAAAAAGCTTCTTAAACGAAAACCATTCTTTAAGATAATAAATTAAATATGTATGATTTTCGTCTGAAGATAGTTGCATTAAGAAATAAGCAGTAGACGAAACTTTCAATATAATAAATTAGCTAAACAAAATTTGCATCTGCGTCTAATAAATAGATGGGAAATGCAAAGTATTTTATACTGGTTCGCATAGATTGAGCTACGTCCAGTCTCCTTCAATAGAAGGGTTCCACTAGATATTCAATGAAGTACATATAGTATTAACGACCACTTCTGGCCCACCAACTTCACTCATCAACGCTAGTATTA